ATTGAGGATGCACGCGCGACCCGTTTGGAGTGCCGATCAGTCGGTGCCGATCGCGGCCGGAAAAACCCCGGTCTCCATTCAATCGTGCCAGGGGCAAGCATGATATCCGAGCAAAGTAGGGGGAACAAGGCCAGTCGAACAAAGGCGGCACTCCCTGTTGCTCTTCGCCCGTCCTTCTCTGGGCCTCCCCCCTGGGATCCGTTTCGAAAAAACGGACCAGGATGGATCCCGAGAGTCCCGGGGTGTGGGGCCCTCTAGGGGCGGAAGTTTGGATAAGACTTGGGCCAGAGTGGCAGCCTCGGCGGCGCGCCAACCCTGATCTCTGAGCCCTGCAGGTTCCCGCGCCCGTTGATTCTGTTTTTTTGGGTTCGGGCCCCGGGGCCCGCGCGAATCGATCTGTCTCGAGGAATGGCGCAGGGAGCTGGAAACCAGGGTTCCGTCTGGTGGTATTTTATTTCGGGCTCGCGGCGCCGGATCCCGACGATCCCAGATCTCCAGCGATCCGGCATTATCCATCCAGGCGTTTTTTATTCGATTGCAGCATCTAGGGCCCCATGCCAGGGAAACGACGGTTCTCTTTACTGAACGCGGGCAGGAACATGACCATGATATTCTTTGTTCGACACTACCACCGCGCACAGTGAAGTGGACATATTTTTGGGTAGGTTCGCGAGCGTGAGACTATATAGTGGCCTTCGGCCCATCCCGCCACCGTGCCTGGGTTGTGGGTTGGAAGCCTCTTGGATGTTCGTTTGGATATCGTGGGAAGCCGGCCTTTCGGAGGCGTCTTGGTGGTTTGTTTTGGGGGCCTCGTGTGACCTCTAGGGGGCCTCTTGGGCTCTCTCACGGGCCTCTTCGGGCCTCCTGTTGGCCTTTTGGGCGTAGGGCTCGAACTGTCGGTTCGTGCTCCTTCTCTTGGGCACCTCTTGGGGCCGCCTTGGGGCCCTCTTGGGCGATCCTGGGGGCCCATTGGGCCATGTTGGGGCCCTCTTGGACCATCATGGGAGACCTTTTGGGCTGTCTTCGGGCGGTCTTGGAGGCCTCTGGGGCCATCTTGGAGCCTCGGAAGCCCGCATACGCGAGAACACGGAAACATAGAATCACAAGGGAAATCAATGATTTGTTCCTCGTTGGGCCCTCTTTGGGGGTCCTCTTGAAGCGCTGTTGGGGCCTCTTTGTCTTGGGGCCATCCTGGGCGTCCTGGAGCGCTCTGGGGTTGTCTTTGGGGCCTCCTGGAGCGCTGTTGGGCGCTTCCTGGGGCCGTCTTGGCCTGTCTTGAAACCCTCCGGGCTGCCGGCACAGTCGCGCGATGCAGCCCAAGAGCGCGCGGGAACGCTCGGGAGATTTGTGGGGAATTTGGGGCCCCAGCCCTTAGAATTAAGTCGGGCTTGTCCCTCTGCAGGGGGAATGTTCAAAAATAGTGCTAAAACATAGTTCGGGGACAATTTGTTGACCTTTTTTTATATTTTATATATATATATATACATATATATATATATATATATATATATGTTTCTCCATTTTTTTCGTCCAAGATCGCCCTGTAGGGGACAGGCCCGACCTAATCTTAGAATACTATGTCCCCAGAGTCCTGAGCACAGAGAACGGAGAACCCACACGTGAGAGCAGCCCCACTTCGTGCCTCGAGGCACGTTGGCGACCGGCACCCCTGCTCGCCCTGGAGAGCCCTCGTCGCCACGGCGGGATACTCTCCGACATTCCTGCTCAGGGCTTCCCACGGGGGGGAATCCACGAAGCATCCGTGTATGTAGTTTCTCGCCTCCCCACGAAATTCCTGGTCAGGGTTTCCCACGGGGGGAATCCACGAAGCATCAGTACATGTAGTGTCTCGCCTCCCCATTCTCGGCGGTTCCCCTGCCTCGGAATACTCTAGCGACCTAATTGTTCAATCCACGAGTGTTTCCTCGACTTCTTTTAAGAGGTGCGCTCTCGACCCGCGAATCAAAAAACGTGTTTCCTCGACTTCGAGATCTGAGGCTCCGTACTGGGCGCCCGGGCCATCAAACATGTGTCCTGGACGAAGAACCAGCCCCTGGGATGGTGTCGGGACCACCTGAAGCCGCGGATTGAAAAAGCATACCGTCGGATGTTGGGGGAGTCTCGGCGGTTTCCATTGGAAGACCGTGTAGCCTCGAGATGCTGTCCAGCAGCTGGGCCTCGCTGGGAGGCGTCCAAGAACACCCGTATTGTCCCGAGCGGCCGTTGGAGAACCGAGTTTCGACCTGAGAGCCAGGCGACGAGGATCCTTGGGAGGGAGAGCATCGACCCCCAATCGCCCATTCGTCTCGAGTTGGAGTCTGGGTACCTCAAGTATCCCCCTCCAGGGCCACGGCCGATTGATTGGCAATGCATCGCCGATTCCATGACATCCTCACCCCTACCCAGGTTTTCGGATGCAGTACTTTTCCAGTCGCGATCGGCAGCGACCAACCGGCACTCCAAAACGGTCGCGACCGATTCTGAAATTGGTTACGGCCGATACCAGAAGTTGAAGCAAAATTGGTAGCGACCGATCTCGCCGGTCGCGACCAGAATCTTTTGGCAGCCAATGGTCAGGGCACCGCCATATCAAAGTTGGCAGACGACCGCGCCAGAAGGGAGTGCGAAGTGCTTCGACATGAACGCCCACCCCAGAGCCCCGACGCCATCATTTAGGCCCGGTAAGGGCCCCGTCTGTCGACAACAGCGCCCAATCTTCCGTCATGATTTTGGTTTCTGAACCGCGGGGTTCTCTGGCGAGGGGCCCACCGCTTCCCAGGCAACCTCCACATGCGGGGGGCGGGGGCGGGGGGGCGTGCCTCGACGTCTCGTTGCCCAGACCCGACGCGGGCGTCTGCTTCGCAGCCCGCGGTATCGGCGGCCCGTGGCCGATCTACCGGCAGCCTTCAGAGGAGGAAAGGGTACCCATACCGCAATCTTTCGCCCGTCTTTCCCTCTTGGGCCGCTTGAGAGGCCTTCGTCGCCACCGCTAGATTCGCTTCGACATTCTCTTGTCAAAGTGCACCCCAGGAGAGGTCTGGGGGGCAGCAGTGTCGGTACCTTTTGGTTTCCCCGAGGGTAGCGCGGGCAGGACTTGTACCCATCTCCGCTGCAGCTTGGAGTTGCTGGCCCTCTTCGCCAGAAACCCGAGACGCAATGGACCCGGATAAGAATCTTGCCCCCAGAGGCTCGATTTTGATCTAAATCCAGTGCGCCTCAGCATTGTGGGCCCCTTCCATGGAAGTCCAAGACGCACTGGATATCGGCGGCGAGCGAGGGGGGGAAGAGAGAAGGAGAAGACCTTCTCAGAAGCAGACGGCGGTTTTTTTCAGAAGCCCTCGCGTCTTGTGAGAAGTTCTCCATGTCTGCGGGGAGGACCTCGAACATTTGCTGGGAGGCCGCGGGATTCCCGAGCCTGCTGAGAAGGCCTTCCCCTTGTTGCCTACCCCCCGCGCTCGCCGCCACATGAAAGTCCAGGTCGCAGAGGATAGGAGTATGAATCTGGCCCGCGCGTGCTTTCAAGTCGGGCGTGTCCCTCTACGGGAGGAATCTGCAAACATTGTCCCACAAATAGTCTGGGACCGATTTTTAAAGATGTTTTGATCATTCGGGGGTATTGTTAGGATATTCTGTATTTCCCGTCCAAAATCCACCTGTAGGGGGACAGTCAGGAGGGACAAAAACACAGACACAATTAATCCTCGATTCCCCCGAAAATATGGGAAAATATGGGAAGTGGGGGGCAAGACAGAAACCCAGAAAATATAAGAATATATGGGGGATATGTTTTTACTTGTGTGTGTTTATTTGTGTGTCCTGGGGCCCCTTCAGACAGGCCCGACCGCAGCGCCCTCGCCGACTCCCAGCCGCATCTCCCCCCGATCGCTCCCCCGTCGCAGGCCGCCGCTGCCCGCCGGCGCGCCGCCCCCGGGCGCCCCCGGCAGGAGCGGGCTCCTGAGAGCGGGGAGCAAAGCGTGGCGGCGGGCAGGCGCTTTCGGAGAGCCCTGCGCCGCCCTCTCTCGGCGGCGAGCGCGGGGGGGGGGCAGAGCTCCAAGAAGGCAGCCTCCATGGGGGGTCGGCTTCTGACTCGGCCCTGGTGTCCGAGATCCGGCGGGATTCGGCCCGATGCCGCTCCATCCGCCCGAAGGCCGCTCCATCCGGCTTCCTCCTGCTTGATGATCCGCGGCCTAACCTGGCGTCGTAGCCCCCCAGTGGGGCTTAATCCTCCATGGTCATGTCGACGAAGGCCTCCCCGTACTTGCCTCCTAATTATACCTTCGGAGCTCCGCGCCGAGTTTCGGCGGCGAGCGAGGGGGGTAAGTCATAAGGACGAGGCCTTCTCAGGATGGCGGCGGGGCTTCTTAGATGCCCTCCAGCCGTCTTATAAGTGTTCTGCGTCTTCGCGGGGCCAGGGGACTGCCGAGCCCTCTGAGCAGGGCCGCCGGAGCTCGCCAGAGGCGGCGCCAGGAGGCGGCTATTCTTTAGATTCCAGCAGGTCACTTGCATGGGGGGAGGAGAGGAGGAGGTGGTGGAGGAGGAGGAGGAGGTGGTGGAGGAGGAGGAGGAGGTGGAGGAGGAGGAGAAGCAGGAGGAGGACGAGGAGGAGGAGGAGGAGGAGGAGGAGGAGGAGGAGGAGGAGGAGGTGCGTCTTTTCCTCCGGGGGCGTGGTGAGGCCCGACAGGAGATGTGGACTCCGCGCAAGTTGGGATTAACTTGCACGCCTTCTCGGCCCAGCGCTGTGTGAAGAGGCGGCGAAGGGGGCGGGGGGAGGAGAAATGCCGTGCAAGTAAACGCGCTCGAGTCTAGAGGACACCGTCCTCCTGGTGCGCGGAGCGCGCCAGGGGCTGCGCCGGAGGCGCCGCCAGGGGGGGTCCTGCGCCGATCCGAGAAATACGCGCGGACCTCCAAAAGTTTCTGCCTATGCCATGGTTTCTTTCCCCGTGAGAAGCGTTGCTTCAGGGACGCTGCTGCCAGCCTGTTGGGCAGGCCGAGCGGCGGCGATGTCTCAGGACGAGAAGCAGGCCACCAAGCTGTTCGAGAGGACCACGCCCGGCGTGGTCTCGATCTCGAAGGATCCCGCGCCGGCCCAGGCGGCGACCATCAGCGGCGACGAGGGCTCCGTTGGCTCCATCCAGGGCAGCGGCTTCGTGTGGGACGACAGCCACGTGGTCACGAACTCCCACGTCATCCAGGGCATCAGCAAGCCCTACGTCACCTTCCTCACCTCCGACCCGCGGACGGGGAAGGTCCGGCGCACCACGCTGGACGCGGTCGTCGTCGGCTCCGACACCGTCAGCGACGTGGCAGTGCTGCGGGTGGAGCCCCGCGGCCGGGGCCAGGCCGACGGCGTGCCTCCGGACCTGATGCAGGCCCTGCCGCGCGGGACCTCCAGCAACCTGCTGGTCGGGCAGAACGTCTTCGCGTTCGGCAACCCGTTCGGCCTGGAGCACAGCCTGAGCCGCGGCATCATCAGCGGCGTGTCGCGCAAGATGGAGGGCGCCGGAGGCCGGCCCATCAGCGGCGTGATCCAGACGGACGCCTCCATCAACCCCGGCAACAGCGGCGGTCCGCTCCTGAACTCCGATGGCGAGGTGATCTCGAAGAACAGAAATCTGCACAAGCAGAAACCCTCGGAGCTCTGCGCGGATTTCTTGGATCTGCGCCGGCTGGACCCCACTGGCGGCGTCTCCGGCGCCGCCCTGGCGCGCTCTCCGCGCCAGGGAGGGGGGCTCCAGCGCCGATACCGGAAATCCGCACGGCCTTCCGACAGTTTATGCTCATAGCTTTTTTGGGTTCCTCTGTGGTCGGCGTGAATACCGCCATCCTCACGGGCTCTGGAACCTTCGCTGGCGTGGGCCTGGCGATCCCGATCGACCTGGTGCAGAGAAACGTGGACAGCATCATCGCGAAGGGCTTCGTGCGGCGGCCCGTTCTGGGCATCGTCTTCGCCCCCGACGTGATGTCCGAGGAGCTGCAGCTGCCCGGCATCATGGTCATGAAGGTCGTCCCCGGGGGGCCTGCGGACCTGGCGGGCGTGCGGCCCATGCGGGGCGGCCGCCTCGGCGACGTGGTCCTGGGCATGGAGGGCCGGCGGGTCTCCTCCACGGACGACCTCTTCGGCGTGCTGGAGCAGAAGAAGCCGGGGGACACGATCTCGCTGACGGTGCAGCGCGCCACGACCGACGTGGAGAGCGACAGGACCGAGGAGAAGGTCCTGACAGTGACGCTCGGCGCCGCGGACGCCCCCAAGGCGTCCTGACGACATGCGTGCGGCCCGCGGAGAGCGAAGGACTCCCTCTGCTGCTGCTGCTGCTGCTGCTGCTGCTGCTGCTGCTGCTGCTGCTGCTGCTGCTGCTGCTGCTGCTGCTGCTGCTGCTCCTTCTTCCCTCCTCCTCCCTCCTCCTCCTTTCCTCCTCCTCCCTCCCTCCTCCTCCCTCCTCATCCTCCCTCCTCCTCCGCGGCCTCCCCCTGCTCAAATCAACCCGAGGAAGGGATCGACCACAGAATTGCTTTACCCGAGAAGGGATTTTTCTTGTCGGATCCATGGAAAATGCGTAGAGTGTTGGTAGATCTGCGGAACTTGTACGCAGTCGTCTATAGAGTCGACGAAGAAGTGAATATCGGGGTTAATCAGTTCTGTAGTCGACCCCCTACTCGCAGCAATCATCCTCTCTCCTCCGACTTCCGCAGGGGCTTCGGAGGTCTCGACGCCTTCCCTGGGGCTGACGTTTCATCCCGAGTTGTTTCTTTACGGCCTCCAGGGCCCAGAAGGTCCCTCCAGAGGCTGGAGTGACCTTTCGCCAGAGTGACCTTTGGTGCGGGCCCAATGTGGTCCACGCCGGAGTCGCCGATGCGTCGCCGACCTTGCCGATGCATCGGCGACGCACTGGCGAAGCATCGGCGATGCGGCCCGAACCTCCGACCCCATCTACTTGGACCCATCTAGGAGGCCTATACAGTCAAAAACCCTAATAAGGACGCGCGACTTTGCTCAGGGGACCCTCGCGTCCTTGCTCTTCCTTGCTCTTGCGTCCTTGAGGTTTTCGTCGTCCGCCGCCCAAAAAATCCCAACTTCGGCTTCCAAGGGTCTTGCGCCCTCACCGCGCGTCCTTATTAGGGTTTTTGATAGTAATGGCTGTAGGGCCTGGTCCTGCTCTCGCGACGCTGGAGGTCCGGCCCCGCCTCCCCCCCGGACCTCTCCCCCGGGGGCGCGTTCGGGCAAGAGCTTTGGGAGCCGATCCGGCCGCGCGGCGGCGAGAAGCCTCCAGCACGCCTGAGGAGGAGGCGAAGGAGGAGGAGGAGGAGGAGGAGGAGGAGGAGGAGGAGGAGGCGGAGGAGGCGGAGGAAGAGGAGGTTGATGCAGACATAGACACGACACCCTTCCACGTTCATCCGCCTCAATGCCGACGCCCCTTACCCTTTGCAGTGGCAGACCGTCTCGTTATCTTGGGAGCTTGCTTGAGTGCTCGGGCGGAGACGGAAGTTTCTGTAGAGTACCGGCTTTGCAAAGCGGAGGCCTCCTTCTGGATGAATTCCCGCGTGCTCAGAGGACCAGGTTGCGGCGCTAGCAAGTTGCGGGCTTGGTCGACAGGGCCGGCTGCTTGTGCAGTGATCGGTTCGTGCGCATGGCACTTGACGAAAGGTTTGCTTGGACGTCTTCGTTCATGGGAGTGGCAATTCCTCAGGCGCGCTCTGAACTAGAAGCGGAAGCCGCATGAGCATCAGTTCTCTTACAACGCCCGGACGTCTGCTAGGATTACTTCGTGGCTTACACTATACAGCATCAAGCCGTTGTACATCAGAGTACTGACCGCTGTCTACAAGAGCGCGTGGCGTGAAACATCTATGCCACCATGTGGGGGCGGACAGTTCTTGCACGAGTCGCGCGTCTTCAGAAGCAGGATGTGGTGGGAGTTTGGCAAACACGAACATTATTCTAAGCGTCGCCGGCTGAATTTGGTCCACGCATGCCCTGGTAAATTTGCTTTATGGGAAGACGTATTTTGTTCGCTCCTTGGTGCTGACTGGAGGTCCGGGCGAGACCAATCGAAGTCCCTGCAAGATTGGATGCGCGAGTTCCCCTCCTTCGCGAACTCTGTCTCCGTCGCGTGGGATCTCCCCGACGTCCGCAAAGCTTCGGCGATCGATTCAGAGCCGGCTCCACCAGCAGTCAAACGCCTCCGGGTGAAGCGGTACACTTTGGACGAGCTCCCGGCTGCACATGCCATGCCGAATTTCACGCACCAGGATTTCCAATGGGATTGTGAGGCTGGACTCTTCGTGATTGTATGCGATTGTAAACCCGTGGTCGATGTTCTGATGGGATACACTTCGCCCCTTGCGAGTGTCTTACATCATCTGCCAGCATTCATTGCGACGGAGGGCGGAGAGGATCTGCCTGTTCAGCATCCGCCTGGGTGATGGAAGCACATTGGTGTAGGCACGGGAAACGGATTACCAGAGTAGTTGCAATGGCGGGAACGTACCATGAGATAGCAGTTTCATCTTTTGCCGCCGAGCTGATTGCAGTTGACTCGTGCGCGGGATTTCTTGTACAGGCATGCGGCTTCAACGCGTAGCCATAGGCATTCGGCTAGCCAGACCAGGCTTTAAGCTGTGCGGAAGGAAGGAAGGAAGGAAGGAAGGAAGGAAGGAAGGAAGGAAGGAAGGAAGTAAGGAAGGAAGGAAGGGAGGAGGAGGAGGAGGAGGAGGAGGAGGAGGAGGAGCAGGCCTGAGGAGGAGGAGGAGGAGGAGGCCCAGAATTGCCCAGAAGCCCGGGTCCTCCCCGACCCTTTTGCCTGCGCGTGGGGTGCTGGGCACCTGCCGCCCCTGGGGGGTGCAGCAGCCTGCGGGCTCCCCTCGGGGGGGAGGGGGGGGAGGGGGGGGCTCGCTCCGACCTCTGGAGGTGCTCCCCTCCGGGGTCCCAGGCCCCAGGGGCCCCTTCGCGGGTGCCCTGGAGGTGTTCCCCCATTCTGGGGCTTGGCATCGCCCAGACGTGTGCATTTCTTTTGTCGGCGAGAACCATCGAGGACCATCCTGGACCATCGAGCAACAAAAACGCGCACGAAACCGACAAATGCACGGGAAATGGACGTCCGAGCGACAGCAAGGGGGGCTCCTTCCGGCCGTTCCTCCGACCGTCCGCCCCGGCCCCGTGAGAAAAAGCTGGCCTCGTAAGCTCGGGCGGCTGCTGATGGGGGGTGGCCCAAACAGGGGGTGAAGCAAATGGCCCAAAAGGGTCTCTTTCGGGCCCCTCTTGGGCACCTGCTGGCTTCGAGAGAAGCCTTGAAGGGCCCCTTGACGGCCCCTCTCTTCACCCCCCAGAAGCACCCGCCTCGAGGGGTTTCCAATTCGATTGGGGAGATGTATCTCGGACACGTTTGAGGCGCATGTGTTTGAAACGCTTCTGCCTGTGGCGGCCCCCGATGTAGCAGAAGTTCCCGGCGGTTTGGCCCCCCCCCCCTCTGTTTTGGCGCCTTCCCTGGCGCACCCCTGGAGGCCCGCGCCCTCCCCTCCCCCTGGGAGGCTTCTTCCGACCAGCCGCCCGCCGTGGTGCCGCTGTCCCCCCCCCCGCCCCCCTGTCCCGCGCGCGCCGCGCGCCGTCCCTGGAAGTGTCCTGGAGGCGTTCTGGAGGGTGTCCCGAAGATGTCATGGCATGTGTCCCGGAGGTGTCCTGGATTTTGCCCCCCCCCCCCCCCCCCTCCCCCCCCCTCTTGCCAGAGGACAATGACAGATGTTTGTTTCGGTCGCGACCGGCAGCGACCGATCGGCACTCCAAATCGGTCACGACCGATCCGTCGCGACCGATACCGAAATTTGAAGCAACATCCGTAGCGACCGACCTCGTCGGTCGCGACTGGAAACTTGCAGTATCCAGTGGTCAGGGCCCCCCCGGAGCCCTCGTGTGAGCGCTTGGTACCCTCTCAGCGACCCATTGTTCATATCCAATTCTTCGAAAGTTCATTGATTTTTTTTGGGGCCAAGATCCTTTCATTTCTAATTCTTCTATCCTGGGCCTCTTCCTGGCCACTAGGGGGCCAGGAACAGTTAGAAACGAGCTTAATTTGGAATGAGCACGATTAGAAATGAACGACGTGTATGTGCCTCTTGCTTTGTTTTCCACCGCTCTGTCCCGCGTAATGGGGGCCTGGGAGGGATGGGGCTCTTATCCTGTTGGATGGCCCCTGGACATGGCTCAGAGAAGTCCTTCCTCGTTCCTTCGAGGGCACCCCAGAAGCTGTCTGGCGGGCCCAGGACCGGGATCAGTATTTCCTGAGCCCTCTGGCGCGCTCTGGAACGGCCGCAGCGCCCGACACGGCCTCAGAACCGTTGGATCTCAGAGACCCCCGATTTATCCGGGTCCGATCTTTCCCTAGCCTTGGCGTCGACCATTGGATGTCAGACTTCTCTTGTCGCGGCCGACGAGATCGGTCGCTCCCAATGTTGCTTCAAGTTTGCCACAGCCTTTCGATGACATCGGTCGCGACCGATTTGGAGTGCCGACTGGTCGTTACCGATCGCGGCCGATCGGTTCGTCTTGAGCTGCCTCTCCGGCTGGGGCAGGTGGGCGCGTGATGTTCGACGGCTACTCGAACCATAGGGTGTACGCCAAGCGCGCCGCTCGGGGGTGGGGCGCGCCCGCGGCGCGGGTGCAGTGCCACGCCGGCGCGCGACGTCAAGCTTTGACGCAGGTCGATATTCGTCCTTGGTCGACGCAGGCTTTCGACCAAGGACGGATATCGACCCTCACACCCAGGCGACCTGATTGCTCCTGCTCTGTTGTTGTTTCCCCTTCCTTCTCCTTGCCTCTTCCGCGGAACCAGAACAAGGATGCCGGCAGCGCGCTCAATTAGCCTATGTGTCTAGAGGATCGGCACACAGAATACATCGGAAGGTCGGCTGTCGCCGATTGCGTCCTGGGACGCTTTTCCGTCACCAGCTGCGTTTTAATGAGCCCCACGCTGCTGCGTTGTGCGACGAATTTTGAAAAAGTCACCCAGGCGACGCGACAGAAATCTCGACGGCGTGGTCTCCGTCGTCTGTTTCTGGAGGGCCACTTCCCGGCCCCAGGACCCTCCACAAAAGCTATTCGCCATTGGAAACCTTTCCCAGGAAGGGGTCAAGATCCCCAGCGGCATACGTCGCCCAAGAAATTCTGTCGTCGGAGGAGGGTGTTCGTGGATCGAGGCTCGAGGTTCGACTGTCAAGGTTTTTTAACTTGTTGGCCTAGGGGAGGCCTCTGGGGACACCCCAGGGGCC